CGGCGCATGTTGGATGACACACCTGACTGCCTTGAAGCTGCCACGATCCTAGAAAGCCTGGCACGCACATCCCCACTACACGAGTTGGCAAGGAACTATCGCGAAGTCCTAGGTAAGCCTTTGTTCTGCCTTGCGAAATCTTTGCGCAGTATGTCCACTGCATGATGTACCTGGAGCACACTGGCAGGAGGAGTGTCGCTTCAACCCTGGCAAACTAGAGAAGATCAGACGCCTGGCACAGGCTCCTGCATGCAACCAAGCACGGGTGTCCTGCAACTGTCGGCAGCACTCGCAGCAGGCATACTCATGTTGGAGATCGATCCGCGGCGATGGAAACTGCTACTATCGCACTTCACTAGCAAGTAGTTGGCTTCACATGTCATTGACACGGTCTGTGGCGGACGAGGTACAGTGATTTTCGGTGCCTTGGAGGTCAGTCAGCCAGCTGCTGGTTCTTCGTAGGAGTCACCTCATAAAGAGCTTGCATTTTCTCGAGAGGCATTGATGGTCAGTGAAGACCACGAGCGGCTCAATCAGATCATGCTTGCTCTGCGGCAGGCCACAGAAAACTATCATGGACGAGAATTACGATTACATGTCGCCCGGAGAATGGACTTTAGCATGGAAAGGTGCAACTTGAGACTGTGCCGGAGCAGAAGCGCCACAACCAGATGCTCCAGATCATGAGGCCGAAGACCTTACTCAACTTGCATGTGCCAGGAAATGATTACGTCACCAGCGCGTCGGCAGGACGTGGAAAAGCCCTCATCAAATCGAACAGTGGATCGCGCAAGATGCTGCACTGGACCAGGCCACGCTCGCATAAGCTTGCAAGACACCAAGCAGCTATACCTTCCATCGCTGGTGATTGGAACCAAAAGATGCTAGCTGCTAGTTTGTTTTTTGTTGCAGATGTTAATTCAACTGAGAACCAGTCTCGACCTGATGTTTGAGCTTGAACTGTTTCAGCCAGCATCGGTCATTCGCGTGGGAGTGCAAGTGAGGATGTGGCAAACTTCCTGCTCCAGAGTGAACATTTCTATCGAGAATGTAAACTTCTACGAGTGGGTTCTCGTGGCAATCTGGCACAGCAGAGTCACTGGGAATTCTTTGCGCCGTGCTCGAGTTGCAAGCGAAGTCAGTGTTTAGAGTTTTCCACAGTGGACCAGAAGTTGATGCTACACAGATGCGGATGAGACTTCGAGTTTGTGGTTGTAGCAGTCTTTCTGAAGTAGTTTGCGGGCCTCTTGCTGCGAGAACTGAGTGGGCACGTTAACACAGGAGGTTCGCAAGTGCTGGATGATGCGGTATGCGATGCCGGATTGGGGATTGGTGGGGGTCACCGAAGTCGTCCACGAAGAGCGCGATGAAACAAAACGAGCCCTTCTTTTTTGTCAACCAGGGCTCCAGCGAAGATGTTTTTGTGGCGATCTCTAGTCTAGGCTGTGACAGGTTCGGTGGCATCTGATTCTTCCACTCGGCTGCATATGAACTTCGTCCTGAGTTGATTTAGGTGCGTGCACCCGGTTGTATGACATGCTCGTGTAACAGGTCGGACAGATTCCTGGCGTGAATGTATGTCGCACGGATCCACTTTGAATTCCATAGTTGCAGCCAAATTTGTTTGCGCCATCGCGGATAGAAGGTGCAATTGAAGTGCTTCAGGTTACACTTACTATATTCCTAGCATGGACTGCTCTGTGAAAAAGAGGTTGGCCCCAGACATCAATCTAGGCGAAAGCTCTGCAGGAGCGAAGTCCAACATTCCGCCTGCGTGCTCAGCAGCTTCGGAGTCCGTAATTTGTGACGTATTGGGTCCGCGAAATACTCGACGAGTGCAGCCATGCTGGCAATGTCAAATTTTCATTTTTGGTTCAATCAGCTCAAGTGGAAGGTGATCTGCTCGCGTGCGCAGCCACTATGTGTGGCTAAAGGACCGAAAGGTCAAAGGAAGCTGTCACACCAGACTATGATAGATGGCTTGCATGCAGCGCAAAATCGAGTTTCGGCTTTATTGTGGATCAAGCAAGAGGACGGCGACTTGATCTTTTCTGCGAAGCATAATAGCAGAAAGTGAAACAGCTAGTCTGAGTCTGGTCCAGTTTCGACGGTCATGTCGGTTCGGCAAAGAGCATACAAAGACAATCGAGCACACTGATTGTTAAGGCCGAAATATGAACTGCCATGTGGGGCTCAAAGCATAGATTGGGCCGGGTGCTGGGGCTGGTTGTTCAGGGGTCCTCATTAAACTGGTGGGGTTTGGGCTGTCCAGCTCCTTGTTCTGGCTCCCTCATCCTCCTCGGCCCCACCTCTGGGTTCGGCGCGACTTTTGGATTTATCTGTGCTTTGGTCTTGCCCTTGCCTACCGTGGCCACTCCTCTGCTCCTTCCAGCGCTCCTTCTGCATCTCTTCCTAGTGCGGGCGATCCCCTTCCCAGTGAGGTGCTCTTCTCGGTGGCTTCGTTTCGGACAAGTGATCGAGTTCCTCGGGCCACGCGCGTGCGGCAAGCGGGCCTGCAGGCAGGAGTCGTGCTGCAAGGGATCCACAACGTGGTGGATCCGACCTCTTTGCTGGCTACTCGTAGCCGGGTGTATCTGGTTTTGCGCTGCCGGGGCGACACCACCGTCCGCTACTCACTATCGGGAGTTTCAAACTGCACGTCGCGGCCCTTCAGCACTCCGATTCCGTGTGCCACAACTTCCCGACTGAACGGGAAGCCCGGGTCCCGGGTGTACGCAAGGTCTCGGAGGGCGATGCTGTCAGGTCGGGTACTTGGACGGGTGGTAGCTGCTATTGCCGAAGGCCAGCTTGCAGGACAAACAAAGTGCACCAATTACTAGGAAAGGGTACGGGACAAAATCTGTGAGATTGCTCCTGCATCACCAGACGAGAAAACCACTGGGATCGAATTCGGAAAAATGCCATGTTGAGTCATGCATTGCTAAACCATGTTGGACATTGGTTTGTGGGAAAGTGTCATACTAAGCTCATGGCTGCGACTCTGATTTGACGCATCTCTCTCATGCTGTTGACATGCGATGAAGGCTCTTATCCGTGCCTGTCGACGCCTTGTGCGGCAGTTTCTTATGAAGCCTGCTCCCAAGCCTGTCCAGTGTCTCTGAAAAGCGTCGAGGGAGCATTTTCGCGCCAGAAGACTTTAGCGAGGAGGATGCATGAAATCATGAAGCCGACAATGTCTTCCAAGGCGTGCACATGATCGATCACCAAGTGGCCTCACGCCTCACTCTGAGCGTGAAGCATATGAAGCATGGTGGCAGTTGTGTGACGCATGACATGGCATGATCTCCTCTTGCCGCTGACAGGTATGACCAGCTCGTCAAAGCTCTGGACAGCAAGTACACGTGCATGGAGGTGGGTCCGGTGTGACGGCGGGAGGCTTTGTGGCCCTTATCCTGCTACAGCCGCAGGATTTCTGCAAGCATGTGGTTGATCCCCTCGGGCGTGATGTCAGAGACCAAGTCATCAATTGGCAAGCATATCATGCACAGTTTGACGTTCTATGAAAGGCGGAGACCCTTGCCTTAGATGCACTACCGCAACAGCTCGGAGTGGGCTTGCGCATGTGGATTCTGGACCGTCGAGATGAGGCGCCGCCGGACAGTCAACTGACGACCACTCCCATCGTCGCTGGTTACCATTTAGGACAAACGGAGTGGAGTGGAAGCTTGGCAAACCGGGGCAGGACAGCCCCCGCGTTTACTGCCAGGCTCTTGCATCCGGAGAAAAAGCTCCAAAACGACAACCAACAAAGCAACGAGAAACAAAAAGGCTAGGCAGGCCCCAAAATTTGACCACGAACGGCCGGGATGCCACCGCGGTGAGTAGCTTTGGCAGGTCAGCCTCATCAGCCTCGACACTCCGGGTCCACAGGGCGAGGCTGGCTGCGAGAAATCTTCTTTGGCTGTTCGTTGTTCTGAGTTGTTCTGCTGGCGTGGCCTCTTCAGGTCGATGTACACGTCCTTTTCAAGCCCGGACACTATGATCTACTGTATCCAGGCCACTCCTGTAGAGCCAGTTTGATGTTCGTAGAATCTTATAGCGCATTGTATTAAAGAGCTGCTTGCCCTCGAACTGCGTGCAGGCCCCCGTCGATGATCACAGGCGTGACTTTCGGTTCAGGGCAGTTTGCAGCAGCATCGTATGCGCATAGACGCACGCATCATTTCGACAAGCGGAGCTGCGAAATTTTGTGGCAGTGGTCGTGATGACAAGGCAAAGACTGACACAGCTGCTGAAAACTGTCTGTGCATGCCTTCGATCCTGCGTCGCTTGCAACAGCTTCGCACGAAGCTGTCCATGGAATTCGGACCGGTCCGAGCCTGGCCCTGCAGGGCAAGCAGGCCAATCGTCGGACTGTAGGCACTCTCCCTCTCCTGCATTGCACGAACCTTTCGAGCAACCTAGCACGGGATGCTCCTTTTTGGAAGTGTGTTCCTTTTTCTCGGCACAAAGGAGTTTGTCCATGCACTGCTCCTGCCAGTCTTTGCCAACCAACACACCGTTCTCCTGCATTCAAGAGCAGCTCCGTAAGCGCTACATACTATCGCGTCCTTGATGGCAAAGGCGGTGGAGCAGAGCTTGGTCTCAATGCCGCGTAGGAACTGTGACGCTCTATCTCTACAATTCTCTACATAGGGGTAAGACCATGCCAGCACCGTTCGTGCAGCTTTTAGATGTTGTTCCGCCCAACTTGTACGTAGTTCATGTAGTAGGGCTTTCGGACCTGACTTCATGGATTTGTTGGATACCTCGACTGGCGAAGGCTTTGAATGCAGCTTGTCAAAAAGCAACCCGTAGCTAGAACTGTTACAAGTTACAGCGGAGAGAAGAAGTGGATGGTTCCTTTGGTTGGCAGTCGAAGGGCACACATCAGCAGGGGCAGGAGTCTGAATCGAGGACGGTGACACGGTAAAGTGGATGACTGTGGCAAAGCAGATCGGAGACCTGTCACCTTTGAACCCTTGAGAGTCTCGCCTGAGGCTCACATTCTGACAGCGCTGCATCCGCGCACACAGCATGTTGTTCGCGCCTTACTAACGGGCAGGTGTGAAACAACATGATGCATTTGCATTGGATAAAGTCCTTCGGCTGCCCAGAAAAGGTTCTGATTGGCGATCATCAACAGCTCCGCCCATCAACAGCTGCAGGAGACTCAGCACACTGTTTGGTTTAAGCTTTTTCTCCAGCTGCTGTCTGGCAGTCGGCCTCACCCAGCAGCAAATTCTCGTGCGTGTCGATTCGTTGGGGACGATGTTGGATCATGAGCCTTCTGACAGGGTGAAAGTGGGGGGTGCTTTTGGGTCGCGCTGGGTCCCGCGGTCCAGATCACGGAGATGGGAATAGAGGGGATCAGCACCTCCGTGCTGCTGTCACCACTCCGGATTTCACAGCTTTCGGTTCAGCCAGCAGCTCCTTTTGGGCAGAGGTTGCCTTGGGGTCGATCCTTCACTCAAAAGAACCGTTGCTGCTTTTACACAAACCCTTGTTGATGATTGGATTTGCACTGCTGTCCGGGGAGGGAGAGTGCTGAAGGGTATCTAGGGTATCTGTTCGGATGTGCTGCATGCATGCCAGTACTCTTGATTCGTGCGACATGGCTCCAAAGGGTCTTGGTTAGAAGTGCGCGGATTGCGATGTTTGCTTGGTTCAACAGAGCAGATGAGCAGATTCTTCGTTGCTGCTGCACGGTGCCGTTTTAGTCTGTTCGCATGCTGCAGGAGTTGTCAAAGCGATCGTACCGTCCTAACTCTGAGGTGTACCGTCTCTCCAAGAACTTCCACCTGGATGTGTCATTGTTTGAGCGCTTGATCCACAATGGTGCAGCCCACGTGTTCTCGCCAGCATTCAGGGTATTCACAGGCAATATTCAGAAGATTTCAGAAGTCTACATCGAGTCTACATAGCTAGCTGACGTGCAGACAATGCTTGGCGGAAGCGCCATGCATGTGGCTTTCGTCACCGTCTGTTGCTGCCATCTCTTGAGGTCACTCTTCTTCAACAAAGAAGAATGCATCCCAAGATCTCCAGGCTCATCAAGCCGTCGAGCACTCAGTTTCGAAAGACGATCGAAAGACGGGCAAGTGATATTTCCAGAAGCTGGTCCACCAGCTGAACATGATCGGAAAAGCGCATCGTCAGCACACAAGCCCCATCAAGCCCCCATGTGGGAGCATGTTTGAGCTCTTGTGTGTCGCACATGCGAGCGAACCTCCGCGATGCAGCTTGTCGCTTCAGACCAGCATTCGTGTACGTAAGGGTTCCTGGTCCAGCCTTCGCAACCCTTCATGGGCGGAGCAGGCAAGAAGGAAGCAGCAAGGAAAAGGCAGCGGGGAAAGGAACCCACAGGAAGAGGTCTCGTCGGATTGCAGGGGAGGTGGCTGGTAGGCCGCTGGAAGAGAAATGGAAAGCAGGAAGAGCCGTAGGCGCTGCCGAAAACCTCTTTCAGTCTCCGGAACTTAGGTTGTATCCACAACTGCGCGACCACAGCAGCACGGAGAAGTGCCCTCGTGTTTGCAATCACATGCAAAGTTAGAAAGTCTTGGCACAGTTGTGATGAGAATACTGCCGCTTATCCAGGCTCACAGGAACTGTAGCAGAGCAAAGTTCGATCTTAGTCTTTTGCCTAGAAGCTCAGTCATCTGTCGCGTTGCATCCTAGCCCGATGCTAATTCGGATTGCTGCCTCGCTGCTTGCCCCACTCTGGGCTGCAGCTTTGAATGGAGAGAAGATTGTCTCAACAGTACTGGCAGTATCCACGAGACCAGAAGACCGATGTGACTAGTTTCAGGGGGCCACATTGAGTCTCGGACCACCGGGAGCATTCTAGCAGTTCTGGCATTTGCAGCAACATGTGTCTATGTAACTTTCGAAAGGCTGCGTATGGGCAGTCTCTTGCGAGGCTGGCTCTGCAGCTGTGCTGACGAGTCACTGACGATTCCGTCTCAGGTCATGTGATGGACACACAGCCAAGTCAGCACCAGTTCCAGTCGGTGCTGCGAGGTCCCAAGCGTAGTATCGTGCGGCAAGCAGAGGCTAGAAAGCCGCCAGAAGTGAAAAAGGAGACCGGGGCAGCATGCTACAACGAAGAATAGGAAGCAAGGATTGCCTGAAGGTGTGATTGTAGATGGTTCTGTCTGGATGAACTGAACATCCTCCGGTGCTGCACCCGGGTCGAGTGTCACTACTGCTTCGACGCTGCGGTTGTTGTGGTCCAATTGCAAAAAGTAGTCATCATTTGGGTAGATGTATGACAAAGGAAATGCAGCATTGGCCTTGCGAGCAGGTATCCCGAGATTCGTGGGGTTGCTGCAAGATGCTTCTTCATGTCCCATTTTCACCTGGAGGCCCTCCCTGCTACAGACTGGCAGACTGCCTGCCCTTTCGTGACCACTGCGATTGAAAGGATGATGAGGGGGAGAGTCACTCCAAGCAGAACACCTTCGAGGCCGGTCGAACTAAAGGAATCTCCGACAAGAAGGAGGGTATGGCAAATGTCAACTGTATTTTTCCAGAAATCGGTCCCAAATCCTAGAGCCGAAATCCTAGAGCCGAAATCCTAGAGCCGAAATCCTAGAGCCGAAATCCTAAAGCCGAAATCCTAGAGCCGAAATCCTAAAGCCCAAATCCTTAAGCCTGCACCACCCAGCAATCCAGAACTCGAGCGCAAACCCCAGTCTGGAGAGGAACCTCCGAGCCAGAAAAGGCCACACCCTACAACCGAGCGCCTTCACAGCTGAAGCTCGTAAGCCCCATACCGACCCTAAACTATAAGATTAATCATAGACACGAAACCTTTGGCTTTGCACCTGAAAGTTGAAATCCCACGCGCCATGCCCCATCCATGCACCCCAAGCCCCAGCCATATTCAAGGGCTCGAGGGCATCTTCTGCTTTGCCCGGCTGTGGGCCTCTTTCTACCATGGCGCCCAGCTGCTGTCCAGAGGGCGCGGAGCCGCTCCGCATGATGACGCATGGCTATTAGCTCTTGGGGCTGGGGGTTTAGCGTTGGAGCTGAAATCCTGGAAGGGCCACGTTTCAAGCGTCGGCTCATCGAAGGACAGCGCATCGAAAAGGAGACCCAGGAGCAAAAGTGGAGTTCATGTTGTGTTTTTTTAATAATCAGCCACATGCTTCAATTGCCGCATAATCATGCTCTCGTACTACTGAGCCAGTCGGGTATGCGGTTTGTTCGGGAGATGGCTTGAAGGTGTAGAATTCATCCTTCGCGAGAAAGGGCTCCTTTTAACGTCTCTGGTTCTCTGGTTGAGTATTCTGTCTCACGCGCCAAGGAAGGACTATTTGCCCAAGCACAGCAGCTTGGCTGGCCAACGCCTGGCATGATGGCGCACCCGGCGCCTATGATTCGGTTTGCGGGGCCGTGTGGGTTCAAGGTTTGGGCTTTGCGGTTTGGGGTTTGGGATGCAGGCGAAGAAGTTCCAACGTCCCGCACGGAGCCCTATGCCACCCCTCCCCCGGTGGTGACCACTTCCTTTGATCTCCAATGATGCTCCTTCCTCGTGCCAGTGCTGATTTATGGGGGGAAGACAAGAACAAGCCCACCTGAAGTCTGAACCCTGAAAACCCAAACCACAAACTCGAACCTCAACTCTTGTCTGCCCAGGTATGGGCACAATCAAGTCCTTGCCTTGCTACGTAGCCACGCCGACAGCGCCCACCTCCCGCGGTGCGGTAGGGTTTAGGCTTCGGGTTTAGAAGTCCTGCCGGGGGTTTTTGGAGTCGAGGTTGAGGCTTCAGGCCTTAAGTCTAAAGTCGAATCTGTATCTTTACAGTTCGAGGCTGAGGGAGCTGGGTTTCAGCTTTTGCATTTAGCGGCCCGGTGTCTTCTTCGCTAGCGACGTGGCAAGGGATTTTTTCCTCGCTTGAGGGGTGGATGCGTGGAGCCGAGGCGTGAGGAGTTTGCGAGTTTGCAAAGTTGAGGGGCAGTGTTCTGTTCAGCAGTGCAGGGCACGGGCTTGTAAAAGGCTCTCAGCTCCAGCGTATGCGCAACCTGATTGCATTCAAAGTGTCAGGTGTCATCATGTTCGCCGACATGTTCGGCGTGCAGACAGGCAGGCACAAACAGTTCTGCGACATGCTGGCGGAGAAGGGGTATCTGACTGTTTGCCCGGATTTTATTTCTGACAATCCCTACACAAGCTGCACCCCGCGCTTTGGCACGACTTCCTGCTGCGTGGTGGAGTTTGTCTGCCTTATCCTGACGGGAGCCTTTAACCGGAAGACCAAGACCTTCGGCTGGGACGTGTACATGAAGCAGAAGGTAATGGGCGAGATCGTCCCGTGGATGAAGGAGAAAGGCGTGACCAGCTTTGCTGCCATCGGGTTCTGCTGGGGCACTTATGGAGCCATGAAGTGCTCGGCGTACCCGGAGCGGGGCGTTGGGATTTGGTTCGGCATGTTCTTCTGGTTAAAAGGAAGTTGAAATCTGTTTTTGCTACGGCACGTAGGACCCCAACTAACGGTTCTTATGGCCTGATTGTACAAGTCCGTTTCAACCGCAGCGGCATGATTGCGTTGTCAGTCTCAGGGATTCGTTTGTTGGATTCGGCTTTGGGCGTTCGGGGTTTTGGAGATGAGAAGTTTGAGGGGTTTGGGGGCTTGGGGTCCTGCTCTTCATGAGCGTTGCAGCAAACATATATGAGTGTTTCTTCAGAGGTGGCTTGTTGGCAATTTTGCACTACTCCAGAGCATTGAAAAAATCCAAAAACATCAGAAAATTCAGAAGCATATGAACCGATTCAAGAAATTTCAGAAACATTCAGTTACAGAGCATGGAAGCATTCAAACAAAAGTCAACAACTTAAAAAGTTCAAAACATCACACAATGAGAACACTTAGTTAACAGATATTGAAAGTTCAAAATTAAAACGCGTTAGAGAAATTTGGAAATCACCAGAACTCAAAACAAATCAGAAACATCAAAAATAGGAAATCAGTAGAAGTCAAAAAGGGCATCAGGAAAATCATAACATTGCAAGACTGTCAACGAACATTTTCGAAACTTCTTCAAGGCTTTTGTATGTTTATGAAGTTTGTTTTTTTGTATAGCTGGGAGTTTTCTGCTTACAGCAGAAACACCCTCTGACAAACCACTCTGGGCTGTTGGATGAAACGATTTCGGTAGGAGTTCAAGTGCGCCGCTGGATTCCACCCCTCCAACGAGGGCTTCTGCAAGGCCACTGGAGAGGACGACATCCAGGCAAGACTTGCACTTCTGAAGTTGGGGGGAGAGGAGGGGAGGGGCGGGTATGAAGGCGAGGGCGGGATAAACAGGGAATAAGGTTTAAGGGTCTCAGCGTTTAAGGTGTCAGGGTTGTTGGGATGGCGTGGGCTGCTTGGCAATTTTGTGGGTGAAACCGTTGACATGTCAGTGCTGTTGTACGTTTCTACCACAAGATGAAAAAGTATGGGACCTGCCTTCGCAAGGTCTCCTTGCGGCCTTCTCACAGCCCCCATGGAAACAACCAACAAGAGTCTAGCCGCTTTGGTAGCGTTTATCCTGCTTCAGGGTTGCTAAATAGCCGTAGAGCGCATTGAGGCGCTAAACCCTTAGACCCTAGGATGAGACTCTTGAGGGCAGCGCCACGGCCAGGTGAAAACTTAGGAAGTCTCGGTAGAGTAGTTTAAATGTCAACCCGCACGGTTAAGCCTTGAACAGGTGTGCAGGGAGATCAAGTGCCCACAGCTCATGATCGCCTCCAAGATGGAGTCGGACTCCGGTCGCGCTACGGTTCTGATTGACTGATGTAATCCGAAACCCCAAGCTCAATACCCTGTATCTCAAGGCCCGAAGCCCTAAACCCAGACCCTTCACACGCCGTTGGAGGATCGCTGGAAGCCTGATGGCGAGGCCCACAAGGCCTGCCAGGTGGCCCTGCCGGGCAAGGCCGGCTTTGCGTTCGTCGTGTCGTTTGGTCCATTTGGTTCTCAAGGTTTGGAAGGAAGAAGGGCCATCTGCAGCCGCAGAGACTTCACAGCGGCTTCTTTCGAGAATTCAATAAGAAACATACCCGAAACTCTCTCGCCTCAGCCCTAGACCAACTGCCCGAAAGATTACTCCAACCTAGACGTTGAACCCTGAACCTGGGACAGCCAGTCAGAAAAGGCCGGAAACCGCCAGTTCCAAAACCGGAGACCCACGCACGCAAAGGCGCCATCCGTCAATCACAAAGGAATTCTAAGCAGTGACCAGCCCCCATTTCCAAAAAGACCTCCCCGAAACCCAGAGATGACTTGTCCCCAGATTTTCAGGCTTAGTGATGGGATAAGTTCAGGAGCCCTTCTTGAGTTTTGGAGGCAAAAGGACATCTCAACAATGCAACAACTCTGTTCTCGCTAATGGCCCTTGAGGTCGCGCTCATGGTGTTTGCCCGAATTTCTACCCGGCTTTGCCTCCGTCTTTTCTACCCCCCTTTGCCTCCCCTTTCTCTTCACAGAGAGCTTCTGAAGCTTCTACCTCCCTTTGCTTCTGTCAGAATCTGACCTTGCAGCGTAGACTTGCCAGGCTAGATTGCTGTAACAGAGGTCGTGTGAATCTTTGACTTCTACCCCTTATGAAAGAGGACGCCTAAAGCCTTTGTCCTCCCGAGCCTCTGTTTTCTCTACCACCGCCATTTATTGTACCCCTGTTGTTGTCGATAGTTCCTTGCCGCCGCAGCTGAACCCAGCCCAAACACCCATTCTTCCCCCCGACACGCCCCACGCCCCCGTCTAGCATGGGGTTGCAGTATCTGGGTAAGGAGGACTCGGGATGAGACGGAGGATTAGGGTTTAGACGGAGGTGGGGGAATTGAGGACCTCTCGTCGTCTCTCCTATGAACAAGCAATAATCTATAGACTCCGACCCCGCTACGCTTTGCTGTTTTTGGTATCGCCCCGTTCCAAACCGTCTATCCCCCTCATACGCATCTGTTCTTCCTACTTCCCCCTCAACATAAGAACGTCTCGACAATTGCCGTGCTCGAGATGCTCGGAGGTCAAGTGGGAAGTTGAGGCAGAACAGAGCCACGGCTACATGACCCGTGGGGACACCACGAAGCCAGAAAATATGGAGGCCAGCCGTCATGCAACAGAGAGCCACCGCTAACGCTTGAACTTCATGGTAAAGGACACGGTTTTCGACAAAGAGTTGGTTCTTCAGGGTCTGGGTGTTGGCCCTCCATCGAGCGTCGGGTTTGGGAACATTTCCAGACGTGAGCAGCTCCGAGGTGGCCCTAACCCTAGATCACAAACCACCGCCAAAGCTGGTCCGATGCTGTGATGACCTCACCTTTGGTTGCGGGTTATTGGGCTTCATCAGGGCATCAGGATCTCCAGTGTGGGGATCGTGCGTTGCATGGCATGCGCTGGTTTCGCTTCGGCCAATGCTGCCATCGCGCCAAACTCCCACTAGCCTTAAGCCCGCACCCCTAATCCTGAACCCGCCCCAAAGCCTACTTGCGTCATGCAGGCAGTGAAGCGCGGTTGGGACTCAATGTTGGCGCTGTTCAAAGACAGCCTGTAGATGCCAGCTTCCGCCATGCCAGGGTCTTGAGTTGTAGCGTTCAGAGTTCAAAAGAGCTCGGGCTTAGACGGTATGGGGCTGAACACATAAGGTCAAAATGGATGTCGGCAGTACGTGGAAGCTGTGAGTGCCGTTCCGGGGGCGCCGGGCCCATCATTGATTCGATTTTCGTAGACACGTCTCACGGAGCGCACTCATCACAGCTAAGGATGAGAAAAGGTTCAGGTTTTGGGATTGTCGGGTTTGGGGTATAAGCAAGGTTCAGGTTTCAGCTTCCCGGGTTCAGGGTTTAGGATGCGGCTCACAGCTCAGTGTGAAGCCAGGAGCAAAAGACATCCCAACCGTGAAGCCCACGCCCTAGGGCTTAAACATGCTTAAACTGAAAGTCCGAAAGCACTCAGTGTAGTAGAGCCTGAGCCTTCAGACGGTATGCGCGACAGCCGCACAACGGGACCAGGTTCAAAAAGCAAACCCGAAACCCGAGCACGAAAACACCTTTGACGCAAACAACAATGCCCCTTGCCTTGAGACCTCAGACCTTAACGCCTGACACCCCAGATCTTACAAATCTTAATTTCTGAACCTGTGGTGCGTACTCCACACCCCACCCTGAACCACTAAACCGAAACACCAGACTTGGCGGAGCTTAACCTTTCGCGCATAATCAGCATCCGCAGATGGAGAAGGCAGAGAGGGAGAGCAAGGAGAGGAAACGAGAGAGAGAGAGAGAGAGAG